GAAGACATTTTTTACTCTTATTTATAAAACACTGAGAGAAATTTTTTGTATGGATGTACAATTTTACCCTTCATTTACTATTGTATTGACTTTATTTATATGAGGTATAATATATATTAAATAGGGATAAAGTTGAAAAGTTATTGAATTTTAAATGAGAGTTAATGAGATTTAAGTTTTTTTTTTTTTTGTCTATATGAAACATGTTGAAAGTGACTCATAAATAAGATCAGAGAAGTAAAATTTAGATTACTAATTTACAGATATTAAAAAAATTAGTTAAATTAGTTATTTATAATAAATTGACGTTGTATTTCCTAGGATATTCTTGTTGATCATGTACATTAGAACTATCACTTCATGAAAACTCTTTACATACACAATTACTGTATGAATATTTTGGGACAAAATAGATAAATAATGAAAACAAAATGGATTAAATCTTATATTTAGAATCAAATTGAATCAATAACTATGTCTTATATTAAAGTCAAAGGTTAGATGTCACTAAACCATCTGATTTCATTGATCGTGTACTAGATGAAGTGTATGTTTGGTTACTAAGCTTAAGTTGCTTGTGCACATCATCTTTAATCTAAGCATGGCGTCAAAGTTTTGAGTGTGGGAGATATCAAGCATGGTAAGTAGGATTGCATATTATATTCACAGTTGTTGATGTCTTACAGGTTGGAGTTAAGCATTTTGAGCAAGAAAGAGAGTGGAGTTCTTGGAGGTAAAAATCAAGTATCATGTTCGAATTTAACTGTCATGATATATAGGATTAAGTGTTTTAACACCGAATTACGGGAAAAACTACTACGAATTACGTGTTTAAAAATTAGGTAAAGATGCACCCAACCACTGGAAAATTTTGAAGGTGCACTTAAAATCCTAAAAAATTAGTAATGTAATTTGGCTCCAACATATTAAAAGCGGATTAATTTTACACGTCACTGACATGTTAACAAATGGATGATTGCCTCCCTCTACAGATCACCTTTTTTATTTTAATAATACAATGACTAAAATGCCACCCGTGCTTTTTGAAAGCTTCCATTGGTATGAGTCTTTGCCCAGGCCTCAGGTTCCTACTTTCTTCTGCAGAGCGACCACTACGGGGAGAACTTGCCGACAAAAATGGTGGTGCGAGGTCTTGGATGAGCAATGAATGTCATCTTCGAAAGCTAGCCTTTCATCGTAAAGTGCACAGATTAAATTGTAATGTTATGTTTTTTTGGGGCATATCAAGCGCTAAACATCCGTTTGTTAATATGCTAATGAGGGTAAAATTGCTCCACTATTACTACCTCCGGTCCTAAATATAAGAACTAATTGACTTATTTTTATAGATTAAAGAAAGAAGTTAAGCTAGTTTTTTTATAATAAATAGGTGTTGTCTTTTCTAAAATGTCTTTACTAATTAAGTGCATTGATAAAACTACCATTATTACAAGGACTATGTTGAAGAAGAAAAATCATAAATATAAAAGACAAAGTGGATTAGGATCTTATATTTAGACCAAAATAAAAATTAAACGAAGTTTATATTAAGGACCGGAAGTAGTAATATATTAGCAGCAAAGTTATACTACTTTGGGAATGAGTAGAAGTGTTTTTTAAAAGCACTTTTTGACAAATTGGAGTATAAACTTCTCTACATATTTATTTCGTATACCGTAAAATCACTTCTGAAACCATAGTTTTGGTTTATATCCAAACACACCGCGGAGTCAGGTGCACTTTTAATCCTTGAAATTTTTATTGACTAAAAAGATCTAAATTTAAGTAAATAACTATTTTCAATGATGTAATTTTTTTTTTTCCCAATAATAACTTGCAAAGACTTCTGTTCTAATAACTTTAGTATATATTAAAGATATGTAACACATAATCAAAAAAGTTACACTTATTAAAAATAGTTACACTCGCACAAATTAAGGTTGTTTAGTCAATAAAACTTTTCTGGTAAAAAAAAGTCAATAAAACTTTTAAACAGGTACTTTTTTACCAAATTAATATTTATTATTTATTTATTTCAAAATAATTAAGATACAAGGAAATATGCATTTTTAATTATTTCTTTAATAAAATAATAAATACAAAATAATAAACTCTCCGATTTAATTTAATTGATTCACGCATAACGCACAGCACGCACATGTATAGATTTGGGCTTCCTGTTTGGTTGGAGTTTATGATGACTTTATTATGGTTGGGTTTTCATGGTTGTTTTTTTGTTCCTGCATTGTTCGGGCCCAATGTTGTGCTACGTGTCGTTCGATCTTGTTTTAACAAAATTGTTTTTTAATAAAAGAAACACGCATTTGTATATCAAATTTGAAATATCGTGGAAAATTGGAACTTTTTATAATTTTATAAATCATAGTAGGTCTTATAAATTAGAGTAGGCCCCATTCAATCAAGAATGATATACTCCCTCCGTTCCTTATTATAGAGACATTTGATGCTTATGGTATGTTCCTATATATAAGAGACACTTAAAAGTTGTCTCTACTTTTTTGTGCTGATTTCCTATTTTACCCATATTTATTCTCCCAACTCACACTCTCTCTCCCTCCTACTTCTCTTTCTTTTATATTTAATTGTTCTCTCTCATGCTCTTTTTCCTTATTAATGAGGGCATTTTTGGAAAACAAATTATACTTTTTACACATTAATTTTCTTAACTAATTTTAACTGTTTTTTTTATCAACGTATTTCGGTTATTTGTCTCTTATAATAAGAACAGAGGGAGTATAAACTTAATTAGCATATTAAGATTTATTGAAACCTTTTTTAGTTTTTTTTCTTACAATGACATAATCATCAATATGAAATATGTAATATATATATATATATATATAAATTTATATCAAAATATGTTATGTGTAATTTATGAAGATTGTGGCTCTTTTTTCAAATTTGGAAAACAAACCACCGAATTCAAAAATTCAAAAAATTAAAAATGTATCTTTAGTTGAATTTTGGTAAATGTCTTTTTTATAACGTGCCCTGCCTACAAGTAAAGTAAAACCCCTTTTTTGGGGTCAAAATTTTAAAAAAAGTTAGGAGCATAGGCCAAAACTAGTCAAATACCACGACTTTTGATAAATTTCACTTATTTGAGGTAACTGCAACAGGAAAATATTGGCCGATGCCATGACGAATCGAGAATTGAAGTTTTCTGGCTCGAGAGAAAATGTCTATCTTATTTATTTACGGCATTGATATTTATCTTCAACTGGTTTCTTTCATTTGCGTGAACCTTTTGGCAAACTAATTTAGGCATGTAGTATTTAATATTTCTCTACAATAAATGATCAAATTTATCCGAAACAAATTGAAGTCCACGACCGAGGGGCATTTTATAGGAATCAAACAGTTTGTAATTAGATGATATCCTTTTTAGATCTGATTGCCAAGTCTTAGTCCTATTTATAAGTCATTTTCAATATGTTTGACACAGACTAAGAAAAATCTTAAATTTCATTAACTCTTATTTAAAATTGAACAATTTTCTAATTTTACTCTTATTTAATATGCATTATACTTCATGTAAATAAAGTCAACACAATAATAAATTAAGGATAAAATTATACAACAATACAGAAAATTTCTCTTAATGCCTTATAAATAAGATCAAAAAATATTTTCTCTCTCGACCTTATAAATAGGACCAGATGAGTAATTGCTTGAATTATGACACTTCTCCTTATTGGAGGTGTATTACTCTCTTTAAGAATATCAAATCCTCAAGAGAACTTATCAGGAACCACTCTTGTATTTGGATTCCTAAAAATCCTAACTTGGCTGCAGATTGAGTAGCCAAGGCTTCTTCGGCGGCAAAACACAAAAATGAATATGTCTATTATTCTCTGTTGGGGAAAAAAAACTGTCTATTCTCCTCTCTCAAATGTCAAAAAGGGCTGCTTTTCTATATTTGAACAAGTGAATTAGTAAGTGGGGGACTTCTAATGTAATGACATCAAACGTCTCTCCTAAATCGTTCTTAAATATCAGATTATGAGTTTGAACTCTATGTATAAAGCAAGATGGGCGTGTGATTTATGACCAAGAAAATAGTCAATTAATAATCCATCTATAATAACAAGTCCTGATTAATTATTATACAGTTAGTTTGATCTTTTTCGGTTTTTCCCATAGTGTTCTCATCGATCTCTAGGAGAAACGCGAATGTTGATGTGATAATAATGACAAACGGGGCACCTTCAATTTCAAAATGAAAATTAACTAACTCACTATTACGGATTGAATTCTGTTCTGACTTTGAACATAAACCGTAAGAAATTGTTTTTGAAAGGAATTGCTAATTTAGTGCTAACAGTAAGCAATTTCTTTAAAATATTCTGAATAATACAAAAATTTCTCCAATATGTTTAGTTTCAACCATTTTAAAAGTTGGGGTGAATGTCAACCTTGAAAAGCCAGCGATTCATGACTACTTGATCCAACCGATTAAATTGGCGGTCGAGCAACTAGGGTGATAATTAAATAAAAATTTAATAAAAATAATTATATGCATATATAATAAGATATATAATATGTGCATATAACACACATACCAATGTATATAAGAAATAAATCCATAAAAACTCTCAGGTAAAAAAAAATCCATAAAAAGTCTAATTGTCAATATAATAACATTACAATATATGAAATTTTTAATAAAATAATGTATACCGCTTGAACTGGTCTGAAAACATATTGAGCTTTTTAATAGGGTCAATTATTTTTAAAATTTTTTGATAGGTGTTTTAGTTATTTCATCCTTTTTATTTTCATCAAGCTCAAGACCCGTTCGCTTTTCTAAAAGTTATTCTAATATGGTTCAACCATAAAAATGGTTTTCTAGTCCAAACCGCTCATTCTTGTATTTCAAGACCCATCTTCCAGTCTTATCCATGTTACTCATACAAGCATTCTTATTATCACTATTCTCTGATTAGTCATTCCCAAATAATAAATGAGCCATCAATCCATTATTGTGCTCTTGTGAATATTTCACGCTCAAACACGTTGTCCTCCTCATCATTATTTCCAGTTTCAGCAATTCTCCTATATTCGTCTGGCCGCAAGTACAGCGTTTCTGAAAAACCACTGCAAATTCAAAAAATAGCCACCCCATATTCAAAAAGGAAAATTGCTGCAAATTAAGACTTTATGGTCACTTCTAACTTAAATTTGTAGTAGTTTTTGACATGTGTTTGTAGCAGTTGTTGACAACTGCTGTAAAATTTTGTAATGATTTTGACCATATTTGTAGTGGTTATTCATAACCACTGCAAAGTACTTTGCCATGTCTATTTTAGTTGTAGTTTTAAAAACCACTACAAACACGTTTGTAGCAGCTAAAAACGGTGCAAATACGTAAAAATAACTATTATAAAACATTTTGTTTTTGGTAGTGGTATAGGGCCCTCTAACCAGATGAGTATGAGGCCTTATAGCTGTATCTTCATCTATTTTGGATGAGACGAGTATAGGCTTCCTCATACTCATCCGTTGTACTACCTCCGGTCCTAATTATAAGAATCAGTTGATTAATTTGAGGAAATTAAGGAAGTAAGTTGAGTTAGTTATTTATCCTAAACAAGTGATGTCTTTCCTAAAATATCCTTACTAATCAAGTGTATTGACTACAACTCTTATTATTAAAAGGGTTACTTTGAAAAAAATATATAAATATAAGAGACAAAGTGGATTGGGGTCTTATATTTAGGACCAAAATAAAAGTCAAACATGATCTTATATTAAGGACCGGAGGTAGTATAATAGATAAATATATAATTCTTATCTACATCTCTTCAGACAATATCTCCTTTTAAACAAACAAAAATGGGCCTCCAAATAGATAACATAGCATAATTTGTAGTAACGACACTAAGGTCCAACGAAGAAACCAGCACACAAAAGGGACCAAGGCCCAAACAACAAAAACTCTCAAACACTAAGCCACACTTAAAAAGCCACCAATGTCGCCACCATTGTTGCTACTGTAGAAAAACATGAAGAAACGAAAATTAACTTCACCAGAATGGGGTTCAAAGAACTACTCCATAAGTCTCATCCCTTTTGATCTCCTTTCTGCTAATTAACAAACAAGCAGATCCACATACAGGCCCCATGCAATTGCCGCCGTATGAAGAAAAGCATTATCAGTATTGACGCCACAGCAACCCCTAAAGACTCTGACCAATACCACCAACACCAACCTGAAAGGTAAAGCAACTATAACTGAGGGGATCTACCAGAATCCAAAGCCAGCTGTACCAGATTAAAGAAGATTCAAAAAGCCATACTTGATCATTGACGACTAAAGAGAAGAAACGTCTTAAGGAATGTCTTCATTTTTGCAATCATCTACCTACCCCTCTAGTGCCATCACACACACACACACATATATATATATGTATATATCATTTTGTCCACACCATTGTCGCTTCTCTCTCCTTCACTGGCTGAACCATTATTCACTTAAAACCAACCCCCGGATCATAGAAGGCAAGAACATACTCAAAGGCACTAAAATCCCAACCCCCCAAAACCAAAAGTCCAAAACCCCCAAGCCGAACAGCCTCCTCTCCAGCTTTCGCCTGAGAGAGAGGCACCAAAACCCTAAGCATGAAGGCACGAGATCACTCACATGCAGAGAGACTGAAAGCTCTCAAACTCAGGAGAGACTTCAATAGGAAAAATGGTTTTGAATATTCTCCTTTTCTCCGGTCCATCCTTGAGTAAATCCAACAATCATTTATCCATTTTCCCAATTGAATAGCTTGCTTCAACAGAATCCACCAAAGCCCTACCAACCATTTTCTAAATTCTTTCATCTTCTTCATCTTTATAATTTCCACCCTTGCCATTATCGTTGTACTCATTCATTGTCAAATATTATCAACAAGATTGTAACATCACTAAGCAAGGTTATCAAATTCGTGAGTTTAAACAAACTCGTGGTAATAATATAAACTTGGATCGTAAACTTAAGTCGTAAATTCATAAGAGTTTACTTTTGTTAATAAGCTGGTATTAAAAGTACATAATCAAATAATTAACATATAACAAATGAGAACAGTTTCATTTAAATATATTTTAAATTTAAATAATTGAATTTATACCCACCAATGTTTATGATTTATCACATTCAATAAAGAAATTTCTATAAAATTCATATATAAAGTCACAAAATATAATCAAATTCAAAAATTTAGAACGGGTTTAAGAGTGAGTTGACACGAAGATAAATAAAAACAGTAAACTCAGTAAATGAATTTGTAAGTTTAACCGAGTTTACAGTTATCACGAGTTTAAGAGTAAATCGACGCAATTTTATTGGCTGAAAACGTAAAAACGTTAAACTCGGAGAGTCAACTCGCGAGTTTAACAACAATTTCACTAAGCCTCTCTATTATTTGCATATACTTTTGCTTTCTCCCTGCTGAAAAAATGTAGATAAAGAATTATTCTCAACGGAAATACTTCTAGCTACTAGTATGCATCATTTCCACTCCCAGACATAAAAGTTAGCAGAAACGGTTTTTGGTTTATAAATATTATATCTCAATTTATTTTGTCTTCCTAAATTTACAATTTTTTTAACTAAATTCTCCTTGTTGACCACATATATTAAAGGATTTATGCATTAAGGGTAAAGTTTCCAATATATGTATATTATATCTACAAAAAACAGTGAATTAGCAATTCAATTTATTCCATCACTAATTAATTTGTGATGGTCTTTTTTCTTAATGAAATTTGCAAATTCCATGACTAATTTTTATTGCTAATTCACTATTATTTTTGAAATTAAATGATTAAAAGGAACACTTTAGGAAACACTTTTTTCCCTCACAAATAATTAATTAATTATGTAACTCCTATATATATTAGGATAAGAGAGAGTGATTTGCAGGAAATGCCTAATTGAAGGGATATTCGTCGTTCTCTCTGTTTTTTTTTTTCTTTTTTTAGTTTTGTTCGTTCTTTTTTTTTTTTTTGGGCTTACGCTCGAAAAGAATACAGATTGAAAAATGAATTGATATATTGAAGCCCTTTTTTCGTGAAACAAATTGTATATTAAATTTGTTTTTAATAAAAACGATATTCTAATTGGTAAGCATGTGACTCATACTTGATAGAGACATAACTAAGTTTGAATCTCATTGTTTAACATAAAAGATAAATATCTTTGTAAATCTTCATTGTGCTCAAAACCTGATGACCTGACCTAACCCTAACAATGTGGCCTAACTCGCCTTTTTCCCCCCTCCAAAAGTCGACGTTATTTGGACGTTTGCAAGAAGGGAAAGAGGGGAATTATTTTGAAAATTGGTAAGAATCTTATTAATTCAAAGAGTGAAAATTCATAATTCTCATTTCTCAATCAGAAATACCTACTGAAACTGGGCTTTTCTGTACTTCTTCTTGGCTCCTTGATAAAATTACAGTTAATGCAATGTTTTATTCTTATAATTGGTTCTTAATCTGGTTTAATTTTGATTCCTATTGTAAATCATAAGTTTTGATCTATTATTTTTTTTTTGGGTATAAAATGTTAGTCTATTTATTTATTTTAATAAGAATCTGGATCATTTCAACTCTTGAGAATGGATCAAACCCTATCATGTGAAACTATATATAGAGATCAAAAATCAAAATGGTGACAAATTAAACTTATAATGACCAAATATTGCATTAACTTAAAATTATAATAAACATCAACTAAGAACTAATATATCATGCCAGAACATTGAATTCCTAACAACCACACGCAATGTGAAATTCACAACAATATTACAAAACTAAGAATAATTTGCTTGAGTAATATTTTGCCAAGTACTGTAATGCATTGACGTGGATTAACAATTTTACTTTTGGGCCAAAGATATTAACTAATTTACTTCGTTCGTTGTGGGCCTGAATGCTTAATTAAATTAATGGGGTTTGCATTATTGAAAGTGACAAAGGTGGACCAAACTTGTTCATTAAATTCCCGACAAAAAAAAAAAACCGTTTTATGGTGAGCAATGAATGTGGACTAAAAACAAATAAGAGAAAAAGACAAATTTAACTATTTTTTAACATAGACTAACATATATAAATACATAATATTAATGGTTCTCTCCCTTATTATTTTTCCATGTAATTTCTCCTTTTTGTCTTACCTGATAACTAGTTTGGTATAGTAATCGATTATCTGTATAGTAAAAGTCACTGGATTTATACCTTTTTTTTTTATAAAAAAAGAACCTTCGACTTTATAAAAAGTATTAAAAACAATTTAAAAGCATTTCTCATATATATATATATATATATATATATTCTACTCTTTTTCAGACTCTCACACATATACATACACATAAATATTCTTAATTTAATTTTTTTTTTTTTTACATTGATGCATTGATGCATTCATGCGCATAATACGAAGCAAAGGAATATAAATGAGTGTAAAATTTAAATATCATGCTGGTAAAAAAAATTAAATATCATTATTATATCATTTTTTTTCTTCCAACCATCACTATATTATTGCCACTCTTTCTTTTATTTTCTTTGAAAAACAAATATTAGCTTTATGAATGTAACAAGTTTCAAAAATTTTATGAACGTGTGGAAACATATTAGAAGAGTTTAACTCTAATACTCATAGGAAGAGGTGCTCAGCAATACTTCAAACATAATTACCTCTAAAAAAATTAAAGGAAAAAAAATTCTTCTATTTTAAGAAGAAACAGAACAAAACAAAGGAAGGAGGTTGAGGTTGAGGGTTCCCCTTCCATCTAAAAACAATATGATCATCCGAATCTCAAACTTACAAGAAAGCAGCCAAAGCACCCTAAACAGCAGACACAAGATACTTTTAAGAGCCGCGATGCATACTGTATTATTGCTTAGCTTGGGCCCCACATAATTTCATGTGGTGGCATTGGCTTATGCTTTCCTGTTCCTATTTATAAATCACTTTTAATATATTTCATACAGATTAAAAAAAATCTTAAACTTTATTAACTTTTATTTAAAATTTAATAATTTTTTAACTTTATCCCTATTCAATATATATTGTATCCGATGAAAATAAAGTCAACACATTAATAAATAAAAAAGTAAAATTATACATTCATATGAAAAAATTTTTCTTTTTACTCTATAAATAGGACTAAAAAATTTCTATTTTCTCTGCTCTATAAATAATATACCTATATTCTCACCGTCGCCAGCAAGCAGTGAAAGCCTTTTACCAACTATGACGTCGTTTTTAAATTTTAACAACCCTGTACGAAATGGCCGTCGCATGAAAGATAGTATTGGTAATATGAATAATTGCACTATAAAATAAGTTTTATATTACTTTCCATTTCTAATATAAGTGTTAGTTGATTAATTTAAGTAGATTAAGAAAATTAGTTGAATTAGTTATTTATAATAAATAAATATTGTCTTCTCTAAAATATCGTTGCTAATCAAGTGTATTAGTTAGAACTATTATTTGGTACAATATTTAATATGTACAACTACTAGAAGAACTACATTTAAAAAAAGATAAATATGAGAGATAAAATAAATTAGGATTTTATATTTAGAATCAAATTAAAAATTAAATTAGTTTTCATGTTAAAGACTGGAAATAGTATTAAGGACCGCAGAAGTAATTCACTGCAATTATGTGACTCCAACTCGAGACTTTGCTGTTGATGCAACCATAACTGCTGGCGGTAGTGAAATCCAATGGCTGATGATGCTCCTCCTACAGGACTCGGAATGATTTCCACCGCACGATGTCTTTGATCCTGGCCCATTTTTTGAATTCTACAGAACCGCTTTAATTCTTGGAATTGGTTTTCCTCAAGAGCTTGCGCGAGAAACTCCGAGGTAAAATCGAAGGACAGTTCACTGGAAAAGAATATGAGCTTACGTAATTCTTGGATTTGGGTACTTTCTCCTACTTCTCAAGTGTTTTTTTCTTTAATTATTAGATTTTGCATAAAATGAGTAAAATTTTGATATCTCATAAATTAAAAATGGTGCGGTTTTCAACTTTTTATGATTTTTCAAAGAAAATACACTCTAAAATTAGTGCTGTTTCTTTTTAATTTATATATAAATTCTTTGAAAAATTATAAAAAAACCTTCACTGATTTTAGGTAGAATCTAATAATAAAAAAATAAAAAATATATTTAGAAATTAAAGAAAAACTGAGTAGCAGCGGTGGAGCAGCGGAGATGGGACCGTTAATACCCCAAATCTGCAATTCTTGATGAGGGCGGGTAGGAAGAATTCAAAATGCTCGGATTTGAATTACTGGAGAATGAGCTTAGGCCCATTTCGGGGAGGCTGCGCATGGCGAAGAGATTTGATTTGCTTGGAAATGATTTGAACCCATTGGAAGAACAAGAAGTTGAGTTATCACTGAGAAGAAAACAATGTGCGTTGCAGAGCAGAACCAACCATTACGAAGAAGATAAAAAGCGGGTTCAGTGCCAAGTTAGCAAGTGAGGGAGTGTCAATCAAGAAAGAAATAGAGTAAGTGAGAGGAGCCAGGAAAATATTTAAATAATTTTTCATTTTTTTTAAATATTAAAAAATGTCTGAAAACAATGGTTTTTTTTAATAGAAAATGTGCTTAAATATCCTAAAAATATGTACGAAGAAACACCCAACACTTTAAAGTTTTTTTTTTTGCTCTTATATGCCCAAAAAGTTTATCTTTGTAACAAAAATACCCTGGCTGTTATCCACCTTTAAATATGATCGTTAAATTATATTATGCAGTTTGACCGGTGTTTTAATAGTTAAATTTAATGACAGATAACAATTTAGAACAGAAATGTTACGAAATAAAACTTTCAGGACATAAAAAGAGTCAAAACAAACTTCCATATGCTAGGTGCTCCTTTGTAGATGCTTTTGGAATATTTAAATATCTTATCATTTTTTTAGGTGAAATAAAGAGTATTCTCAAATCACATTGAACTTAAAACTAATCCCTTTTGAATTGAGAGAGGTTAGGAAATAATCCTCCCAAAAAATACGTTTTTCAAAATTTGAATTTGAATCCTCCTCTTTATGGGACTGAGTTCACTACCAATTTTTTATAGCCCTCATAATAACAAATGCACTTCTTAGAATTTGAATTTGTATTTTTGTTCCTATGAAGTCTTTGCCAATTTTTTTAAAACATACCAAAACTTTTACATGAAAATAATGTACACATTTAAAAATAAAATGTAAATATATATAGTTTAAAACACAAAAATGATTGTAATTTTATATCTACCTTAGAGAATTTTTTAAAGGTTTTTAAAACAAAAAAAATTTACAAATTTGAAAATTAATTAGTAAAAGCTTAAGAATGTTAAAAATAAAAGTGTACACGATTTTTTTTTTTTTTATAATATAGTTCAAGAGTGCGCATATACTATTATTCTAGAACAACAATCTCTGAGCGTGGATTCAAAAGAAAACGACAAGGGTGGTAGAAGCTTGGAGTAATAATTAATTTGCAAGTTAGTTAATTATGAGATTGTGATCATGTGGTTTTAGGGTCGTATCCACGGAAGTATGTCGTTTAGCAGACCAAATGGTTTGACTATGAAGGATTCACTTGAGATACAGTTGTCGTATAATAGGTCCCATCACATGCTAGCGTACATTGCACCAATTGCCATCCATTTTATTAGTTAGTATGCTGATAAAGTACAAGGCCATTATAGATGCTTAACATAATAGTTAATACAACTGTATTATGCTTAAATCCTTTTTATTTTCTTCTTTCACTTTCTATCAACTTTTTTTTTTTTGAAATTCACAATTAAAAGACTACGTATCATTATTTTAATTTGTTATCGTTTCATATATAAAAATAAAATTTCTTAAAATTTTCAAATGTATATAAAGAATGTTTAAATGAAGTTTTTTTTGGAAAAAAATTTAACAAAGAAAAACAACATAAATAATCCCAACATTATTAGTTTTAGTGAAAGGAGCTTTGACCGTTTAAGGACGAGATCTCAAGTGAAAACAAAAATTAGAATAGCTATTATAATCTTGACAATACTATAATTTGACACAATTAGATAGTCATAAAAAATATAAATAAAAAAATTGAAAAAATTGCTCATACTAATTTAATATTATTAATTTCTTTACAGATAATACAAAAAAGTCTCTAAGATCTTTATTCTCTTTTTCAACATGAAAAAGAACCATTAAAGATCATCTCAAGAATTACATTTTCTAGAATAGCAGCCTCAATATCACAAGCTAATTCTTGTCTCTGCTCCTCAAACTTGTTCCATCCTTCCCTCTCATCCATGTCTCTAATACAAGCATCCTTATCACTGTTCTCAAAGTCATCACCAAATGAACCATTCATCCAGTCCTGTGTTCTTCTCAATATCTCATACTCAAACGCATCGTCGTTTTCATCGTCTTCCTTATTCCTAATTTCATCATCAACTCTCCTTTTCTCCACTTCATCTCTGAAAAAATCCAACAATAGTTTCTCCAAATTATTATTAGCTTTAATCCTTTCAACTGAACCACTTGATTTGGTAAAATGTAGCAATTTCCATGCCATTTTCTCAGTTCTATCTCCTCCTTCTTCATATTCATCATCAATATCATTGTGCTCTTCATCATATTCCTCAGTCTCAAGCACTGAAACTGGGCTCCTTTGTTCTTCTTCTTCAAATAGCCTTCTTAATTTTGAATTTCCCTGCAATCATTATTTCAAATATGAGATAATATAAAAGATATCTTAATATTAAAATATTCACCACAAATAATAAAAAATCTCAGGAAAAGGTCTCTCATTAAAAATTCTATTGGTGAGAATGACCAGATAAATTTCTATACACAAAATGAGAACAAAACAAAAGAGACAACTGCAGACACACAAGTTTTTTTAGGAGACAAGATGCAGTCTATAATTGCTCACCTTGGGCCCAGCTGGATTTCCTGTTGTCACGTACACTGAATCCACGCCGACCGGGGACAAGAATCTTTTCCCTTCAACGACGTCGTTTCGAGGACACTCCGCAAAACTACAGTCGCACGAAGAGAAATCACTGTCACTCCAACTGGAGCCTTTGCTGCTACTAGAGGAACTGGAGGCGGATGAGAAATCCAACGGTTGATGTTGCTCCTCTTCCCTGTCCCCGAATGATTTCCACCGCACGATATCCTTGATTCTGAGGGGCACTTTGACTTCCGCCGATCCCCTGCAATTCCTGGAATTGCTTTTCCTCGAAAGCTTACGCGAGACACTCCGAGGCAAAATCGAAGGAGACTTCACTGCCAAAGTGGAGAACCTCTTGACAAGGGCGTTTAGGAGGGAATTCAGAATCCTTCGATTTGAATTCCTGGAGGATGAGTTGTTGAGGTCCATTTCGATGAGGCTGCGCATGGTGGTGGAGCGAATCGGATTCCGTGGAATCTGTTTGAACCCACTGGAAGGAGAAGGAGAAGAAATTGAACTCTCACTGAGAAGATCTCTCAGCGTTCGAGGGCTACGCCTTGTTTGTTGCAGAGCAGGACTACTCATCTTGATGAAGAAGAAGACTGAGAATAAGAAGTGGGTATGGTGTGAGAGAGAGTTTGAGAGAATTTGAATATATAAAGGGCAGAGAAGAAGAAGGAGTGAGGTAGCTTCGAGGGTGGAGATCTCAAGATCTCCAGGTAATACAGAAGCCCATGCAAGGTGGAAAATATATAATAATATTTCTCAAATTATAGATTTATAATTATATTTTTAATTTTTTAAATCCACATGACCTTTCTTCTATTGCTTTAAAAAAATTATATATACTATGATAAAATAAATAGTAATATTTAATTTAAATTTTTGTGCAATTTAGAAAACTTTTGTAAAGGTTTTACATTAAAAACAGCGTTTTTATACTATTAAAAAAAAGGAACATTTATATAACTTTTGTAAATAAAAGTGTATAAAATAATTATGGTGGTGTTGGAGTTTACTCATGAATAGTGTATATAGTGTAGAGTCAAAAGAAGTCAAGAGTACTACTGTATGTACTGGATGGCTGAAACGAGAAGAAAAGAAAAGGACAATAATGGTGGAAGCTTGGAAGGTTCTGAGCTAGAAATAGTGTAATGTATGTTACGATATAATAATGTAACACGGAGTTAGATTAAAGATGGAAGCATGTCGTTTAGCACATGAAATGAGTTGACTATGATGGATTCATATGTGATACGCTTGTCGTAAATGGTACTTCTTCCTCACATGCATGTGGATCCACCCATTTTCATCTATTTCCTTAGTACACGGTTTAGTGCTAAACTAGCATAGGCCATCATATTAATTTAAGATTAAAGTTTTTCTAACAAGTACGTTTTATAGGATTCAAATTTGTGTTCTTTTCTTTATGAGAGTGAAACTTATTACCATCTCAACTAATAACTTGTTAATAATAAGAAACAAATTTACTTTAATTTTTTTTAAATTTATAATTTTTTCCTAAACTACTATAAGATTGCACATATTAAAAGGTTTTTTTTTTAACTAAAACTATTTTCGATGTTAATAATTAAAAAATTATTTTTTAACAAAAAATCAAGCTATACTTTCTTTTACAGAATAATTAACTTAACAAGTTTTTATTAATATTTGTAAATTATTTATCTGACTCTTAAATTTATAATATAAAAGATAATTTTACATAACAAAGTGACGACTCATTTATACATTTTTAAAATAAAGCTATATAAATTAAACAATATTTAAAATTATAGGGATTAAAGATACAATCTCCACAGTTTAAAAATATTCTGGATCCCTAAAGGAGATCAACTATTTAAACTAAATAGATAACAAAATACAATTTAGTTGGAGGGCGCTCAAATTTAATATTTCATAAAATATCTTTAAAATATAAAAAAAATAGGCAAATAAAATATAATGTCAAAAATTTAAATTTAATGGAAAACTTTTAAGAGAACACGTAGTATTTAATACTGCTTAACAACAGTAAAAAAAAAGAGGAATAAACACTACTAGGATATATCAACATGCATGGTTTAATTAATTAAAAAAACTTTTAAATTTTCAAATTTTTTGTCTCCAAAGTACTAGCATATTACATGAAAAGAATTTCTCATAGTTCAGAGAGAAATTCTGAAAAATTATTAAAAGCAAATCACGTAATGGAGATTGCTTTGACTGACACAGTAATAAGTAGGGAGGGGAGGATCTCATGCGTGAAGGTGTGTCTGAGGCAATTTGAAACTGACCAATAACCATTAAGCGGAGTCACATGTGGAAGATCCTCATTGGCTGCCAACACATGCGTCTCCCACATTTCAAATCTGAAAAAGATACCATTCATTGCAAGTTGCACACTCTCCGTGATCATGCGCGCTGCTTCCCTTCCGTCTTAAAAGGAGGAGCCCCAACAGTCCTAATGTGTTTGGGGTACGTTGTGTGATAATGAAATAAAATATTACTCCTCCGGTCCTAATTATAAGACCCAATTAATTTATTTGAGGAGATTAAAGAAGTAAGTTAAATTGGTTATTTATAATAAATAAGTGTTGTCATTCCTAAAATATCCTTACTAATTAAGTATATTGGCTAAAACTATCATTATTAGAAGGATTATCTTGGAAAAAAATACATAAATATAAGAGACAAAATGGATTGGGTCTTATAATTAGGACCAAATAAAAAGTCAAATTGGGTCTTATAATAAGGACCGGAGGAGTAATAAATATAATTATTAAAATAAGTTTATAAGGAAACTTCAATGGATACCACAGTACCATCCCATTTTTAAGCGACAGCCGACACTAGTCTGACAGATATACGGCGGAAGAAGTCTAGCGCCGGTGCCGCCGGCGATCACCAATGAGGGTGGGCTAATGTTGGCAAGGGAGGGGAAAAGAGGAATAAAGGAGGAGCAATTTTGCTGTTACATTTATGACGATGGTCCTTGATGAGATGAGATACTGTGTTGCCCGAGTCGAATATTAAGTTCAGGTCAAATCTAATCTCACCCAATTCAAAGAATATACTCCCTCATGCTTTTTTTTTTTTTTAAAAGATTCTTTTAATCAGATTATCAAAACAGTTAAAATTAGTTAAAATAAATAAGTATGTAAATGAGAAAAAGATGATGAGAGATAATAAAAAAAGTAATTAAAAAAATTGGTAAAAAATATATAATGTCCATACACCTTTAACCAATATTTTATAAAAAAGACTAAACTAATTTAAATTTTGCAATCTTATAAAGAGGGCGGGAATGAGTATTCTTTTAGAGTATAATATCCTCATCATTGTTTTTGGCAAGATGCTAGAATCATTTTAAGGTATTTTTATACTAATGCTCAATATTCTTAAATAATTTGTGGTTCAATTTTGTTTTAAAGATATTTTTAAGAGCAATTTTATCCTCATACTTTCAAAATTAATGCGATTTTAACATGGCTCTTAACTCTACAAAAAGTGCATTAAATATGTGCTATTATATAAAAAAATAAGTTGGAGCGGTTATTTTTCTTTTTCTTTTTTAATTTTGTAGCGTCTTTGTAATAAGATTTGCGGAATCTGAATGCTCTGATGTGGATGTTGACAAAGGCAACAAGCACGCCTCATATGGTGGCAAGACATTTTGCTCTCAAAACAACTTCAATTTTTAAAATTATTCTCATGAACCGAATGAAAACATTTTCAACTCAAGGTCCTGAACTATAATTCTCAACAAGCATGCCTCAAATACAGAAATTCTCTTTTTCCAACTAATGTTCAAGTGCCCATTTATACTTGTAATTGGTTACATGATTTTACTTTAAATAATACTAATTTCGATTCTTAATATAATATCTCGTTTTATCTTTATTTTAGTTTTAAATATAGACATCAATCCACTTTATCTCTCATATTTATTCATTTTTTTCAAGATAATACTTCTAATAATAGTAGTTCTAGTTAACAAACTATATTAGTAGGGATATTTTAGGAAAAATAATACTTGTTTATTATAAATGACTAACTTAACTTATTTTCTTAATCTACCCAAATTAATCAATTAGCTCTTATATTAAAGACCAGAAGCAGTAGTAATGAAAAAGAATATCTTGATATTTTTGTTATTGAAGAATAACTAATTGCGTGTAGTAAAGAACAATAAAATATTGTTGATCTTAATGATAATGATAAAGATGAAGATGAGAATCATGTTGATGTTACTAATTTTTGGTTTCTTGGTCTCTATATTTTTTATTTGTCTGGTTTATTTAGTTTTATTTATTTTTTTAGTTTGGACACTAGTTTATTAGTGTTTGAGATTTTTTTTTATATACTATTAGTTTTGAAAGTTTGAAGAATAATTCGACACTTTATATATTTATGTTTGAATGTGGAATTTTTTATTTTAAAATAATTAAAAAAGTTTAAATTAAGAAGAAGACATAAACGTCCAGTGGTCCTGAGCCCACATGTTCAAGTGTTAGGTAATAATATAATAATTTTATAGTATGCAAGTTTTAAAAGACTAGTATTTTTTTTCTATTTGGAATATTTTATTAAAAATATCAAATAAATTATAGGGTGAAGGTACATCTAGCACCTTGATCTTATTATTATTATTATTATTTTATGAAGACACCTTGAGCTTATTTTACAAGTGCATCCAATACTATAAATTCATGATCTTATTTATAATACATCTAGTACCTAAATCTTATTTTCCTAGTGAATATAACGCCTTGGTGTTATTCTTTTAGTTATATCCAGTACTAAAAAAATAAGATAAGAATATTGGATGTACTTTTACCCTAAATTATTTAAACATTTTAATTTTTTAAAAAAATGAGATATAACCTGTAATAATATAATTATAATAATAAATAAAATTGAGAAAAAATAAACACAAGCTAACCCATAAGTTATGAGCCCATAGTTCGAGCTGAAAAGGTCCTTTTCCAGGCTTCTTATGAGAAGGAGAGGGGCGAGTCCGCATGCCCTGCTCAGCCCATCTCTGAGCAATGCATGCTCACCCCCTAAATGACAGCATTTTGGGAGTGAAACCCTCTTTTTTTCTTTTTGATAATTTTTATTCTTTTTTGGGTTTTAGTTAGGTTAATATTTAGTATATCCAGTATCCTAGAATATTTTTCAGTAACATTTAATATCTTAATTAATTAATTTTTACACCTTTAATTAATTTTCTAGTTGCACCTAGTATCATAAATTAACCATTGTTTTAGTACATCTAGTATTTTAAAGTATTTTTTAGTAACACCCAATATCCCAAATTAATTAATTTTTACTATGTCTAGCATTATGAAATATTTTTCCTGCAATACGTAGTATTATAAATTAATTTTTAATGCATCCAGTACCTTAAATCATTTCTTAGAAACACTCACTCCTGTGAAAAAATACTCTGAATATGTTAAAAATTAATTAATTTAGGATATTGAGTGTTATTGAAAAAATATTTTAGAATACTAAATATAACCCTAATGAATAAAAAATAAAATTAATATAAAAAAATTAAAAAGAAGAAGAGGAGGAGGAATTAGCATCCCCTGCTCATCGATGTGATGAGCAAGGAATATGGATTCGGTGAGGGACAAGAGAAGTTCTTAGGTACTTTTATGTGTATTTTGTTTAATAAAAATGCTCCGACTCTTGTAATTTTAATCCACATGTCATCCTACTCATGTTCTTTAATCTGTTGTTTTAAGAAAACAAAAATCTGTTTTCCTCTCCTACTCATCTTCCTCGCTTTCTCATAACCTTGCCCTTCTCTCTTCATCGATCTCATATTTCGGATGGAGGATAGGTTAGTAAAATCATTTCATCCGTATTCTAAAATCTCTCTGTTTTTTTTTTTTAATAATTAAAGTCCTGATTAGGAACTTTGTTAAATGGGAAAATCACTAACAGGTCCCACAGAAGGCAATTTATTACTCTGAGGTCCCACGAAATGTCAAAATCACTGACAGGTCCCAAGGGACCTCAGAGTAATATTTTCGTTTTGTAAAATGACATTACTGCCCCTCATATTCCAGATTCACATTTGCTCTGTCATTATGATTTACAACCTCAGCAACGACTATTAACAACCTAATGAGAGGGCGTTAACAACCCTAGCAGTATCCGTTAACAACTTACTTTATAGAATTATATAACCTCTACATAAGAGTAAATTATAACCAAATAATATAATACAACAACTTTAACACTAAAATGGGAAGCTTTTTGATATCATTAAGAATTTTAACTAGATCCAATAGGATTATAGTAATATTTTAATGCGAAGATCCATTTACAACCTTAACAGTGACTGTTAACAACTGAATGAGAGGGTATTAACAACCTAAGCAGTATCAGTTAACAACTTACTTTATAGAATATATAACCTCCGCATAAGAGTAAATTATAACCAAATAGTATAATACAACAACTTTAATACTAAAATGGAAAGCTTTTTGATATCATTAAGAATTTTAACTAAACCCAATAGGATTATAGCAACATTTTAATGCGAAGATCCATTTACAACCTCAATGGTGAGTATTAATAACCCAAAGAGAGCTGTTGACAATCTAGGCAGTATCTATTAACAATTGACTTTATAAGATAATATAACCTCTAACAACTATATAAGATTAACTTTAAGACTATTTAGTTATAGTTTAGTTAGTTATAGTTAGAAGTTGTATTATCCGATAAAGTTAGTTGTTAACAGACATTGCTAAGGTTGTTAACAATTCTTCTTAGGTTATTAATACTTACTGTTGAGGTTGTAAATGGATTTTCGCATTAAAATGTTGCTATAATCCTATTGGGTTTGGTTAAAATTCTTAATGATATCAAAAAGCTTCCCATTTTAGTGTTAAAGTTGTTGTATTATACTATTTGGTTATAATTTACTCTTACGCGGAGGTTATATAATTCTATAAAGTAAGTTGTTAACGGATACTGCTTAGGTTGTTAATGCCTTCTCATTCGGTTGTTAATAATCGCTATTGAGGTTGTAAATGGATCTTCGCATTAAAATATTACTATAATCCTATTGGATTTAGTTAAAATTCTTAATGATATCAAAAAGCTTCCCATTTTAGTGTTAAAGTTGTTGTATTATACTATTTGGTTATAATTTACTCTTATGCAGAGGTTATATAATTCTATAAAGTAAGTTGTTAACGGTTACTGCTTAAGTTGTTAATGCCCTCTTATTCGGTTGTTAATAATCGATGTTGAGATTGTAAATGGATATTCGCATTAAAATATTACTATAATCCTATTGGATCTAGTTAAAATTCTTAATGATATCAAAAAGCTTCCCATTTTAGTGTTAAAGTTGTTGTATTATATTATTTGGTTATAATTTACTCTTATGTAGAGGTTATATAATTCTATAAAGTAAGTTGTTAACGGATATTGCTAGGGTTGTTAACGCCCTCTCATTAGGTTGTTAATAGTCGCTGCTGAGGTTGTAAATCGTAATGACAGAGCAAATGTGAATATGGAATATGAGGGGCAGTAATGTCATTTTACAAAACGAAAATATTACTCTGAGGTCCCTTGGGACCTGTCAGTGATTTTGACATTTCATGGGACCTCAGAGTAATAAATTGCCTTCTGTGGGACCTATTAGTGATTTTCCCTTGTTAAATTCAGAGACCTGATTTTAAATTTGGATATTTCACTGGGTTTTAAAATGAAGTTTTCCCTTCCATCCACCTAATTGGCTCTTTTATCAAAGAATTGATATTTTTTCCAACCAAAATGCCCCTCTTTGATATTAATATTACTACAATCATTTAAACACTTATTTTGTAGTTTTCACTTGGAGTTTTTGGGGTTGATTTTGTAGCCTTTCTTGAGTTTTGGATTGGTGCTTGTAATCTTATGGAATGAATATATCATTGCAGCAAAAAAAAAAAAACACTTATTTTGCTTTGGGTTAAAAATTGCTTAAATGACAGGGATAAAATTGCACCTAAAGATTAGGAATAAAATTGCATCATTAAAATGATCAAGAATAAAATTGCACTTGAGAAATAAGATTTAGGAGTAAAATTGCACCACCTTTCTTAAATGTATATATGTTAAAAAAATTGATTAGGTTGTTAATTTTTTGAAGTAAAAATTGCTTTAATTTTGTCTAAATTTGTTAAATATTTAAATGTTAAACAAACTACCAAAAGATAAATTAAAGATTTAGTGCGATAAAACTTAAATTGACAAATAATATATATCGTAATATATTTTGTGAATATAATTTATCGCTCTCATCTTTTAAAAGGATACGTACAAGAAAGTCTCATGAAACCGAAAAACGTGTTGACATTTTATAAAAAATATTTAGATAAAGAGAAGATCTAAATTAAATCTATAAATCATCCGAATCAAATTTAGATATCTTAGAATTATTTTGTTTAAGATGGAAACCTGATAAATCAAAATTCATAGAGGCTTATAAATAAGTTCAGCGATCTTCATATAATCTTCATATAGAAAAATCAGTCAATAAGAAGTCAAAAATTCTCTTTTACAGTTGTCCGATGGAGAAAGAATTGATTCGATTGTTTGGAGCAGTGAAGAAGGCGGCAGACGCAGCGGCGACTTCGACCGCCGGCGAGCTCGAAGAATGTCAATGCCTTGATGCGTTCAAGCTGCTCAAGAAATTTCCTGTCGATTATGAAATTCTGGTAGCAACCCAATTGGGTAAACATCTGAGAGTTCTAACAAAGCATCCCAGAAGGAAGATCCAGGCTTTCGCTATGGGCATAGTAGAGATATGGAAAGCCATAGTCATCAAGGGAATAAGACAGAAGAAGAAAGAAAAAGTTGAGAAAACTCATAGGAATGAGACATCAAACTCCGAAAAAGGAAATATTAAGGTACGAGATTTAGAAAATATTAATAATTCAACTTTATATTATATAGATTTCAATTTAATTTGATGTTTTCACGAGCAATTTAATTGTGATTTGGGATCAATGAAAAAGAGTTCTTGTCTTCTTGATGATATATCATGGCATGTTTAAAATTTAATTAATCCAGTAGACCAGTAATACCATGTAACCCAAATTGTATGACGATGTCATTTAAAAATAACAAACCATATGTGGTTCATTTGCCATAATATTTATTTTTCAATATGAAAGACAGATGTGATTTTTTCAAATAACATACAGTATCTTCAGTTTATTTTGAGTTTCAGATTAATCTTTGTAGAAAGTGCCAAGATTAAAGTCTTCCTAATAAATATGCTTTCCGAAATTTGATTTTTTTTCCCTCCTTCTTACTGAGATGAGTCCAAGATATATGTGATTTTAATTATATTATTTTGAGATAGTTAGGTAATCTTTTTATTTTTAATCATTTATTTAATTGGTGAAATATAATTTGAAAAATTATTTATTACTTATTAAAGTATAAATGGTTCAAATTTAATAATTGTTAGTTACGTATTTATGTCTCATATGCATCTTTCCGAGATTATGTAGCAGATTAAATCTTTAGATAAATTAAAGAATGAATCTAATCTAACTAATATTAAAACGAACAAATGTTAAGTGATGAACAAAATCTTTTTATATTCATTAATCAAAATTTTATTCGATCCGAAATTTTCTAAAATATTAGAATATTTAACTATGTTTTATGTATAGGATAGTCTTCAATGATCAATGATATCTTTATATCTAAAATTTATTTATTTGTTAATTTAGGGGAAAACATCTAGTCCAATCTTTGCCAAATCAATCCTTATATCCCCTTGTCATGGGAAAAAGGTCATCGAGAAATATTTTAATAAATAATATTTTTTACCAGCATTTTAGTAAATCATATTTAACTTATAATAATAATTTAAATTAAATCTATAAATGTTTTAATAAAAGCTTATTGTCGATCCTCATATATCTTCATATATCGAAAAGTTAATAAGAAGTTGAAATTCTCTTTCAGGATTCTATGATGGAGAAAGAATTGATCCGATTATATGAAGCAGTGAAGAAGGCGGCCGATGCGGCCACGACCTCAACCGCCGGCGAGGTCGAAGAAAATCGATGCCTTGATGCGTTCAAGCTCCTCAAGAAGTTTCCCGTCAATTATCAAATTTTGGCATCGACACAGGTGGGAAAACATCTAAGAGTTCTTACAAAGCATCCCAAAAAGAAGATCCGGGCTTTCGCTATGGACTTGTTAGATATATGGAAAGCTAAAATCATGAAGGAAATCAGCAAAAGCAAGGAGGAAAAAGTTTATCAGAAGGTTTCAGAGGCTGAGAAAACTAAATGGAATAGGACCTCAAGTTCCCAAAACGGAAAGACTAAGGTACAAGCAGATTCTAACGTCACATTTTCTGCAGAAAATGTTAAAGCTGAGAAGGTTCGGCAGGCTCATGTGATAAGGCTTAAACTTATGCAGGCTGACGTGGACGTTGCCAAGGCTGAGAAAAATGATAGGAATATTGAGACATCAACCTCCGAAAATGTAAAGGAAAAAGATTGCAATGTAGTTACAGGAGAGAAAACTGTTTCTGTTGCAAACATGGCCAAGGATGAGAAGAAGCAAGTTTCTGGAATACTAAATGAGGCACCCTCAAGCCTTGTTGCTACTTCAAAGCAGGAAACTATGATTAAAACTAACGATGAAAGGCGAGACAAAATAAGGGAAATTCTTCATGAGGCATTCTCTAGAGTTTCAGGGGAGGCTGATGAATCAATCAAGGATCAAGTTAAAACTTGTGACCCTGTTAGAGTTTCTGTTGCAGTGGAGTCTGTGCTATTTCAGAACTGGGGCCATTTTAATGGGGCTCAGAAGATCAAGTACAGGTCTTTGATGTTTAACCTGAAGGATCCGAAGAACCCAGATTTCCGAAGAAGAGTTCTGCTCGGAGAATACTCGCCGGAGCAGCTCGTGGAGATGAAAACAGCAGAAATGGCAAGTGACACGAGGAAGAAGGAGAACGAGACGATCAAAAGGAAAGCTTTGTTTGAGTGTGAGCGTGAACAGAAACCAAAAGCCACAACTGATCAGTTCAAGTGTGGGAAATGTGGAAAGAGAGAGAGCATCTTTCACCAGATGCAGACTCGGAGTGCTGATGAACCTATGACCACATATGTTACCTGCGTTTCATGCAATCACCATTGGAAGTTCTGTTAGTGTCCTTATTAATTCTATCAAAGTACTTGTAAAGTGATCAGCTTGAAGTTGATGACAAAACAATGTGTAGATTTTGATTCTTTTTAATTATTACTTGTAACTGTAATTACTGTTGGATTCTACTATAGGATTGTTATTTCTCGCAATGGTTCGAGAACAATCATTATGATGTGTACGTAAATAGTTTTTCACTTGGTAGAAACCAAATTTGTATAATTTTTTCATGCAAACACAATCGGAAGTTCCGTTAGTTTAGTTGTGAATTCTATCAAAGTGGTTGTATGTAAATGGATTTGTTTGTAGCTAACGAATGATGTTTAGATTTTAATTCTTTTAATTATTACTTGTAATTACTGTTAAAAGTTATATTAGTGTAGTTATTTCTTGCAATGGATCGAGAACTAGTACTTTTCGAATTCAAACTGGTTCTTGTAAATGTGTTATGGTTGTAGAAACGTTATGTGTATTAGCATAAAGGTCTATATATTTAATAATTCCAACGTTATATATACTCTTCCGATCCTTAATATAAGACTCATTTAACTAATTTGATTAGATTAAGAAAGTTAGGTAAGTTAATTAATTATAAAAAAAATGACACATTTTTCCTAAAATACCATAATCATCTTTCTTAATATGCCCTCTCCCTCTTCTACTTGATTATGTTTGAGAGAGTATCCATAGGGGTAATTTAGAGAAAATTAATAAATATGAGAAATGAGTTTTATATTTAGGACCAAAACCAACTCAAGAATTGGGTCCGGAGGAGTATATATACATCTATGTAACTAGTTAAAATAATAGAGGAATTGGAGCTGATTGGCTGTGATCCATGTCTTTAGCAGTATTATTATTGTGGGAGGACTCAGCAGAGTTTGGGATTGGTGTGCAAGAAGGAAAAGCAATAGTGAGGTCAAGACTCAAGTTGGAAGAATGAAAGAAACAGGTAGGGCGATGAAGAGTAAAGCTTTGGTGATGAAGATGAGAATAAGTTCATGGTTATGAGGATCTATCACTAATTGGCTCTTTTATCAAAGAATTGACATTTTTTCCAACCAAAACGCCCCCTTTGATATTAATATTACTACAATCATTTAAACACTTATTTTGTAGTTTTCACTTGGAGTTTTTGAGGTTGATTTTGTAGCCTTTCTTGAGTTTTGGATTGGTGCTTGTAATCTTATGGAATGAATATATTATTGTAGCAAAAAAAAAAAAAACACTTATTTTGCTTTGGGTTAAAAATTGCCTAAATGATAGGAATAAAATTGCACCTAAAGATTAGGAATAAAATTGCATCACTAAAGTGATCAAGAATAAAATTGCACTTGAGAAATAAGATTCAGGAGTAAAATTGCACCACCTTTGTTAAACATATATATGTTAAAAAAAATTGATTAGGTTGTTAATTTTTTGAAGTAAAAATTGCTTTAATTTTGTCTAAATTTATTAAAATTTTTAAACGGTTAGTTATTTAAATGTTAAACAAACTACCAAAAGATAAATTAAAGATTTAGTGCGATAAAACTTAAATTGATAAATAATATTTATCGTAATATATTTTGTGAATATAATTTATCGCTTATATCTTTTAAAAGGATACGTACAAGAAAGTCTCATGAAACCGAAAAACGTGTTGACATTTTATAAAAAATAGTTAGATAAAGAGAAGATCTAAATTAAATCTATAAATCATCCGAATCAAATTTAGATATCTTAGAATTATTTTGTTTGAGATAGAAACCTGATAAATCAAAATTCATAGAGGCTTATAAATAAGTTCAGCGATCTTCATATAATCTTCATATAGAAAAATAAGTCAATAAGAAGTCAAAAATTCTCTTTTACAGTTGTCCGATGGAGAAAGAATTGATTCGATTGTTTGGAGCAGTTAAGAAGGCGGCAGACGCAGCGGCGACTTCAACCGCCGGCGAGCTCGAAGAATGTCAATGCCTTGATGCGTTCAAGCTGCTCAAGAAATTTCCAGTCAATTATGAAATTCTGGTAGCAACCCAATTGGGTAAACATCTGAGAGTTCTAACAAAGCATCCCAGAAGGAAGATCCAGGCTTTCGCTATGGGCATAGTAGAGATATGGAAAGCCATAGTCATCAAGGGAATAAGACAGAAGAAGAAAGAAAAAGTTGAGAAAACTCATAGGACTGAGACATCAAACTCCGAAAAAGGAAATATTAAGGTACGAGATTTAGAAAATATTAATAACTTTATATTTTATAGATTTCGATTTCATTTTGATATTTTCATCAGCAATTTAATTATGATTTCGGATCAGAGTTCTTGTCTTCTTGATGATATATCATGGCATGTTTAAAATTTAATTAATCCAGTAGACCAGTAATACCATGTAACCTAAATTGCATGACGATGTCATTTAAAAATAAAAAACCACATGTCGTTCATTTGCTATGTATTTAGTTTTCAATATGATAGACAGATTTTTTTTTTTTGGTATAACATATGGTAGCTTCAGTTTATTTTAAGCTTGAGACTAATATTTGTAGAAAGTATCAAAGTTAAAATCCTCCTAATTAATGTGCTTCTGAAAATTTGACCTTTTGTTCTCGTCCTTAGGGAGATGAGCCCAAGACATATGTGATTTTAATTATAGGGAGAATTAGAATAAAGGACCTGTAGAAAGAAATATTTATTAAAAAAGACCATAAAAATTAGAATTACTTTAAAGGACCAAAATTTAAAATATTGATTCTAAAATGCCAAATTATCTCTATCCCACCTCCATCTCTCTCCGTGATTTTTTAGTTGTTGCTTTCCTTCCCTACTATTTTATATTGTTGGGTATTGATTTTAAAATAGTGTGATTACATTTTTCCCACAATTTTTTCAAAAAGTTAGAACTTCCCTAAGCTATATATACACAACTTTTTTCTTATTCATACTCAGAATTTGTAATTATTGATAACATTATTATTTCAAGATCTTTAAGTTTTTTTTGTCACAAACGATAACATTCAAAACTATTTGTTACTCATAGTCCTAAATCTAACATTTGATGGTTTTTCAATTTTGTATAGAATGAGATGTGACAGTTGATTGGAAAAGAAGAATAATTATGGGTGATTTAGTATTTTTAAAATTGTATTTTAATTTTTGGTCTTTTAAAATAATTATGATTTTTAAGATCCTCTAAAATAAATATTGCTTTTTCTTGGTCCTTGGTTCTAATTCTCCCTTAATTATATTATTTACAGTTAGTTAGGTAATCTATTTATTTTCAATCATTTATTTAATTTGTGAAATATAATTTAAAAAATTATTTATTACTTATTAAAGTATTTATGATTCAAATTTAATAATTGTTAGTTACGTATTTATGTCTCGTATGTATCTTTCCGAGATTATGTAGCAGATTAAATCTTTAGATAAATTAAAGAATGAATCTAAGCTAACTAATATTAAAACGAACAAATGTTAAGTGATGAACAAAATCTTTTTACATTCATTAGTCAAAATTTTATTCAATCCGAAATTTTCTAAAATATTAGAATATTTAACTATGTTTTATGTATAGGATAGTCTTCAATGATCAATGATATCTTTATATCTAAAATTTATTTATTTGTTAATTTAGGGGAAAACATCTAGTCCAATCTTTGCCAAATCAATCCTTATATCCCCTTGTCATGGGAAAAAGGTCATCGAGAAATATTTTAATAAATAGTATTTTTTACCAGCATTTTAGTAAATCATATTTAAATTATAATAATAATTTAAATTAAATCTATAAATGTTTTAATAAAAGCTTATTCTCGATCTCATATAATCTTCATGTAGTGAAAAGTTAATAAGAAGTTGAAATTCTCTTTCAGGATTCTATGATGGAGAAAGAATTGATCCGATTATATGAAGCAGTGAAGAAGGCGGCCGATGCGGCCACGACCTCAACCGCCGGCGAGGTCGAAGAAAATCGATGCCTTGATGCGTTCAAGCTCCTCAAGAAGTTTCCCGTCAATTATCAAATTTTGGCATCGACACAGGTGGGAAAACATCTAAGAGTTCTTACAAAGCATCCCAAAAAGAAGATCCGGGCTTTCGCTATGGACTTGTTAGATATATGGAAAGCTAAAATCATGAAGGAAATCAGCAAAAGCAAGGAGGAAAAAGTTTATCAGAAGGTTTCAGAGGCTGAGAAAACTAAATGGAATAGGACCTCAAGTTCCCAAAACGGAAAGACTAAGGTACAAGCAGATTCTAACGTCACATTTTCTGCAGAAAATGTTAAAGCTGAGAAGGTTCGGCAGGCTCATGTGATAAGGCTTAAACTTATGCAGGCTGACGTGGACGTTGCCAAGGCTGAGAAAAATGATAGGAATATTGAGACATCAACCTCCGAAAATGTAAAGGAAAAAGATTGCAATGTAGTTACAGGAGAGAAAACTGTTTCTGTTGCAAACATGGCCAAGGATGAGAAGAAGCAAGTTTCTGGAATACTAAATGAGGCACCCTCAAGCCTTGTTGCTACTTCAAAGCAGGAAACTATGATTAAAACTAACGATGAAAGGCGAGACAAAATAAGGGAAATTCTTCATGAGGCATTCTCTAGAGTTTCAGGGGAGGCTGATGAATCAATCAAGGATCAAGTTAAAACTTGTGACCCTGTTAGAGTTTCTGTTGCAGTGGAGTCTGTGCTATTTCAGAACTGGGGCCATTTTAATGGGGCTCAGAAGATCAAGTACAGGTCTTTGATGTTTAACCTGAAGGATCCGAAGAACCCAGATTTCCGAAGAAGAGTTCTGCTCGGAGAATACTCGCCGGAGCAGCTCGTGGAGATGAAAACAGCAGAAATGGCAAGTGACACGAGGAAGAAGGAGAACGAGACGATCAAAAGGAAAGCTTTGTTTGAGTGTGAGCGTGAACAGAAACCAAAAGCCACAACTGATCAGTTCAAGTGTGGGAAATGTGGAAAGAGAGAGAGCATCTTTCACCAGATGCAGACTCGGAGTGCTGATGAACCTATGACCA